AACATCATAGAATTTAAAGGTACAATGCACTGCAGGAGAAAGTTATTGATAGTATTATCACAATATTCCAAATTAGCATAATGCTACGTAATTATACGATTCACTTAAAGAATTTTAAGATTTTTTGAATATATAATGAAGATGAGTAAAATTGTAATAATGTAATTGAGTTGAATAAAGAAATGCAAGTCATTATTTCTAATTAATCGCTACGCACAAAACAAGTCCTTCATTTTAATGAGACGCCCTCAGAAAGAGTTCACTGTTCTAATTTATCTCAGAACAAAAATAATTTTACCAAATTCATCTTTGCAGTTAATTATGTACCCCTGAATACCATCCACTCATGTTATTCATACAACAAAAATCTTTAGGTAGGCATTGGGCATTGTAATTCTGGCTAAGAATTAATATTGGTAATCATAATGGTGTAAAAGAATCATAATGAAGTAAGCCACCTTACAAAAAATATTGTTAAAGTTAGCATATACAATTAACCCACGAACAATGTGTACTGCTGAAAATGCCACCTTATTTCTTCCAAACGATATTCTTAAAATGGTAACAAACTTATAGGGCATAAGTAGGTGCTTAGCTTACATATTATTTCATATTCCCATTAACTATTATAGTTTAAGCCATGTCAAAGATATCCCTCAGTGAGAGAGGGAGAGAGGCTCACTCTTATACAGGGTGTTTTTGTAAATTTAACACAAGTTTCAAGTACTAAAAAACAATTTTTAACGACAAAACAAGCTATGTTGGTATACCTGTTTTCTGTTTTCATTGTTTCATTGCTGATCAGCTGACATGCATTGTTGCATTTTTATCTTAGCATTTTAGAGGCATTGCGAACTTGTTGTGAATAAGACCAATGAATACAATTTGTATTCATTGATGAGACTCAAGAAACTGTTTTTGCAAGCTCAAAAGGTATTTATTTCATATCCAAAGTAAACCATTGTTTTTTGTTTTTTTTTTTGTAAGAAAGATGTAAAATGAAGTTTCTAGGTTTGATTCCAGTGCCTAAAAAATCAACTATTCTTTGAATTCAATACATACTCTATTTGAACTTGCGAAAAACTATGTTGAGTCTTATTTTTTATAAATTGTATAGCTTATCGGCATTTAAAGTAAAGAAAACAGGGATACCAACTAATGAGCTAGGTTTGTCGTTAAAAAGTGACCCATGATTGATGAACTTATTTCGGGTTACGTTAAAAAAACACACCCAGCATTGAAAAAAATGTGCCTACAGCTTGTCAATCTTGACGCCTGCTTCAGTTTTCAATGTCAATAGTTGTTTAAAATAAGATTACTAAGCTATGATTCCAGTAGAGATACATCGCCTTCACAGGTTACATGACCGACACCTGACTAGTTATACTCTTGCACAACAGTCTAGTATCAGCTTGCATCTCCTTTGTCATCCCGATCCTCAATGTCACCCCGACCCCGAGCTGAGGAACTGGTCAGACTAGATGTGACTCAAGAGTGAAAGAGATCCTCATAGTAATAGTGCACAGGGTACCCCTCAAAATGTTCATACCAATAAATCTTTTTCATCTGATAGGTTTACGAGTAGTTTAGTTTTTACAAAAAAACATTATATCATAACCAACTATGACCAACTGTATTACTAACGTGAAATACACAAGCCAAACATCCACTTTGGAACAATGAGGAAAACTTGCATACGATAGCGATAAGTGATTTTGCAGTAGCGATTCGTTCTATTTTTGCCCCTGACGTGGCATGGGATGACTATGGATTACACATATTGCATTCTCCTTATAGCATATGTATCACTAACGCTGTAAAACGTTACCAAGGGAGGTTTCTGTTTGCTATTGTAGCAAAATGACGTTTTTATGTTTTCTGTTCATTTCTTTTATTCCTACAGAATCAAATATATTTCAACCAAATAGAGGACTCTCCAGTATTACAACAGGAGTTGCACAGCGTATGTATATGTATAGTATGGGTTAAATTGTTGCAAAATATACTTAACAACCTAAAAGAGAAAATAGTTTATCTTGGATCTCATAGGATATAGAGTCAGGCTTCTCGATTTGGATTTATACATGTAAATGACTTAATTGAGAGCTTTTAGTAATATTTTGTCGTTACTAATCATACCACACTTATATCAAGTGTATAGAGAATTTAGTTGACAGAGTGTGTGCCAAGTCGGGCATTGTGATAGGCGCTTGGCGCTTTGGCCAACAAATGATCTTTGTAAGCGCGACAGACTTCCTCCCTCTGGACCGAGTCCAAATGCTTCGCAGATAAACCCGAAATTTCCCGGTGAAAAATTGCCTCGATGCGGACTTTTGCATATAACCGTGCTGCTTCCTTAGAGAATTGTAACTTGAGACCAACTTTTCTTGAGGACTTTAAATAATTATATTAAAATATTTCACAACTTAAAATGTTAAAGTAGTAGTGTATTAGTTCATCATCGCACTTTACCCTCTAAAATAAATTGTTGGTATTGACAAGTTAAAGACAAGTAAAAAGATATGGAAAACGTCCTTCATCATAATTATGTTTTCGCCAACCGGAATCAACAATAGACAATGGTGATAAAATATGTTCATGTTCTCAAAATTGTCAATAAATAAATATAATAAATAACTATGATTTTTGTACTTCATCCGAAGAAAATAAATCTCAATAATGTTTATTTTAAAGCTACCTATTTTATACCTTTCTTCAAAATGTAATTTGTTTAGATAAATCAATGTTCAATCAAACGCATCAGCGTTTTAAACATACAAAATAATAATCTCTGATGTGTTGATTTTGGTATAAATTATAGAATTGGATTATCACATACAAAATATAATTGAATGGTTCAATATTGCGTTGACTAATCAAATCAGGTGTTGCGTTAATCGCTCTAATTATAATTACTCAGTCGTCTGCATGCATGCTTCATTTTGAATCGAAACTTTACATTTTTTACACAGCTCACTATTTGTTTTGCAATATTACAAGTTTAAAATCAATCTAGATTTTAAAGCTGGTATGGTAATAGTTCTCCAAAGAATAGCACTTAAAGTGGATTAAGAACAAATTCTTTCTGTCTATCATAGGTTTAATCGTCATTATGCTGTTATTCAATACTTAAAGTTACCAATCACTTTATCTTAGAACAAACTTGGAAATCTTATGGTTAATTTCATTCATCGTCATTTCATTAATCATACTTCTTCTATTGATTGGTAATAATTCTATTACGTAATAATTCTTAAGACGTAAGTTCAATATCAAGTTCATGGTACAAATAAACAGGTTAATGCATAGAGTAAGCTGGATTCCCAATCCTCGTCGGATATTACTTTTGTTTTACAAGTTCATATACTCTGTGTAACTTTCCCGCTCTTTTTACGACGTCGTAACCGCCCACATTAAAGTTACATTTCTTTTACACATCAATTCTGTAGCGCTGTAAAGGAGAAGCATTACATACCGAAAGTTGAATGACGTTTGTGGAGTAACTTTGTCTTTTACAGTATGCATTTAGGTTTATACAATACAAAAGTTTAAAAATCTAAATCTTACTTGTAAAGTTCAATTTGATCCAAGTTATCTCTATGTGGCCTCATACACGTCTTATAGAAAATTCAAAACAATAAATCTAAATATTACTTATAAAATTTAATAATCTCTATGAACTGGCCTCACATACCTGATTTCTCAAAACTGGCATACATTTCACTTAATGTTCATTAGATTATCTTATACTTATGTAGTTTACTAATATTTTGTGAATAATTCCTCGCTAGATATTTTAACTGAACCATATCAGCCCATCCGCAACACAGATATGGTTGGAATTGTTTCAAGGCAGCAGAGGAATTACAAGGTATTGACACATACATCCTGTGAGTGTAGTGATTTTGTGAAAACAGTTCCTTTGATACGCCAGTTAGGTAATAGTTTGTTGCACTTCGTGATACCTCCCATACAAAACTTACGAAAATAGAAAGACACAAATGTACACAAATTAAATAGTAGACACGATACTATGATACTAAGCGCGGAGTAGGTTTTGCAATTAAGACGCAGAACTTCAGTCCTCAAGTTGCAATCTCAATAATTCCGCCAATCACAGATTTAGTTTGCTTAGGGATTGTATATTGTTCCTGACATTTAAAATTAGTTTTAGGCTGTAAATCAATCCAACTTAAGACAAGGATAACACTCAGAGGATAAAACAGCTTAAAAATACGTTTTAGTGTGATATTTATCTCAGCTAAATATAGTATAAGCAATCTGACACATAATTTCTCCCATAAGCTTGTCAACAACCTTTATGGGACCTTGCGTTTACATTTACCTTTACCTTTGGTAAGTGGTGTGAGTAACTATGATATTTGATAAGGAAAATCACATAAGTTGCAATAACTTTGGAACCTTAATTGTTTCAGCAAGGGGGGGGTTGCACTATTTTTGTTGGGGTTGGACCATAACTTAATTTGAAACTTTTGAACCATAATTTTTACAGAAATGGTAATTGCACTAATTTGTTCAAAATTTAAAGGAACATAACATACTAATTTTAATCAAAAGCGTCTTTTTGAAGCTGGAAGCAACCACTTTAGGATAACTGGTATACATTTATATTGAATTATTCCAACTGAATTGTATTTTCTGAATATTTGAAAAAAAGATTTCGTTTTGGCTGACCATGCATTGTGCAGAAAACTTTTACTTTTCAAGTTATGTCATGTAAAGTTAAAAAGACTTTTTTCGTGAGACACCTCTAGTATACAATCCAAAGATATTTGTGTGTAATGAAGGATATTGCTTAGAAATACAATATACTCCTGATGGTTTCCATTTTGCTTAAAGCAAGGCCTCTGACTTATGATATATCTTTCTAATACAGCACTTTTAGTAGTGACATACGTGGTGCATAAATAATGAAGTTAAGCAATTAACACAATTAGTGAGTTCCATTGTAAGGGATGGTATAAAATTGAAATGCACAGATAATTGAAATTAGCGTATATTTAAAAATACAAGTGTTTCATCGAATCGCCACCCTCAGATACAATAAAATTCAAATATTTAACAATTATTTCATAATTCTAGATACAGTAATAAAGCCTGTACGAGACACATATCACAATAATATCACAATTGGATAAGGTAGCTTTCTGCTTTTTACAACTTCGGTTTTTAAGTAACAGGTTTTATGAATAATTCCTACACTACCGAATGTAATATTTATTAGGTAACACTAGCTAACTTAGTCATAAACCATTTAGGGTTTAATTTATTGACAATATTCACATTACATTTAATAATCTTTTTAGGTGTTAATATTTTTTTATTAAGAACACGTAATTTACGAAAGGGCAATTCAAAGTTATGAAGATCAATAAACAATATAAGTTATTCCTCTATAAAATACGTAATTATTCAATCTGTATATTTATGAGGACGATTATTGTACAGTTTTGTACTTTAAGAAAAACTGTTACACAAAAATTTTAGTTCAGTACTATAAGAAATTAATTTAAATGCTACAGTTATTAAAGTGTACAATAAAACTACGTATATTTATGTAGGTGGTATCAACATTTTGGTTTGTGTGAAATATTCTAAAATTATGAAACATCACGATTAGAAAAAGTTAATTTAACCATTAATAAAATCAAACAATACATAAAATTACGGATTTAACTTTAGGGATCAAATTTATTAACTAATTTATAATTTATCTAATCTTCTGGTAATACTATATTAAACACTTTAAATATTTAAAAATATTACAATAGTAATTATATTACTGAAGTTACCATCATGAAGACACCAGCTGGCAACAAAAGCAGCGTTGCCAAATTGCTTCTCAAGTTAGCAGTCGCAACAGCTGATTGTTTAAACCAAGTGGAATCCTCAGCGAGTTCAGTCAGTAAGACATAATACAGTAGCAGCAACATTATAGTAAGAAAATACATCATAACAGTTAAACATACTTTATAAATATAACAACAACGACACAAAAATAACATGCTAAGGCAAATACACAGCAACGGTTGTGAATTGATAAGTAGAAACCCCTTTTTTTATTTTATGGATATTAACAAATTCCCCCAAAAAATAGTAGAAAGCGAAATAGCTACTAGGTAGAAAATAATTTTTTAACACTTGCTACGTCTATCTTATTCTGAAATTGTAATTGTGTGATATTGAGATCGAGAGAAATAAATCTTGGTAATGTAGGCTTGGGACCGGAAAAATAGTTTTTCTTGAACATTTCAAAATATAAATTTGTTCTGCACAAAAAGAGTAGTTTAGGTACTTTATCGTTTCATGGTATCAAATATAAAAAAATAGGTCAACTGTCTTAGTAATTTTTGGCAGTTTTTGTAGCACATTGTTAGTAGAATGGATTGCGTCTTTTAAATGCTGTGTGGTTTTACACTAGCCATCTGAAATACCAAAATCCAACATAAATAATTAAACTTTTGAAATACAGTAATTTTCTTGGGTTTTCAATTTTCTACCTCTTTTCGTAGCAAAAGCATATTAAAAATAAATTACCATCAGATTGTTTTACAGTAGCTATTAAGAAATTACAAAAATTCAAAACAATATAAAAAAATAAAATAAAGTTGAAAATAATAATAATAATTTTACTATGTAGAAAAAATCTAGTACAACACAATAGGATAGCAAGATGTCTTTGAAAAATAGTGAATCTTGACTTTAAAAAGAAATAGTGTGATTCCAACAACTTTACAAGTAAAACTATTGTATATACAATTATCTTTGAGCGCTTATTCTAAAAAGTAAAACTTATCACGAGAAATACAAATATATAAAGATAAAAAACAGCAATCGAAGGAATGTAATATTGAAATGAATAAAACGATCTCCCGCGATAATATCAGTCACGATTTTGGTATCGGCGTTCCCCAGGGATCTGTGGTTGGCCGCTAGTGGTGGTGGTGATCGTGGTCGTGGTCGTGGTGATCGTGGTGATCGTGGTGATCGTGTAGACTCAGGTTGGGACTGTCCAGATGGTCGTGATGTGGACTGTGGTGATGACTGTGGTTGTGGTCGTGACCAACTGAAACACACAGACACGTCATAAGTAATCATGGTCGTCCATAAAATATGTATTATTGTTTAATGTACTAGGGATGACATTGTGATCGAGCTTGTCTTGAAGTTTAACCTTTTTTAATGGTTTTGATTAAATTCAATGGATATTAACGCACCTTTTCCAGCAACATTTAAAATGGTCAATACACGTTCTTTAAATTTCAATGTTTAGAAATTTCATTAAAATGTAATCGTTTAATCCGATTAAATTATACATCACGATGGATTGGCAGTAAGCCTATCTTTATCCTCCACAAGTCGTAACCACGTTTGAATAAAACCCCAGTTGAAATATTGATAACGACACACAGCCAAAGAGTGTGTATTTGTTATCAAAATGTGTTTTCTGGCTTTAAATGAGTACTCCACCTCATAACCATGCCAATTTATTTTTAACTACAGCATCATAATTTATAATTTAAACCCAAAAGGAAAAAAAATGAAATGTTACTCTCGTACACTCACTGTGAGTCTTAATTTCTATATTGTTGTCTTCAAATAATGAAATAGTTACAATAGGACCATGTAAATTGATTTATACTCTTATTATTTTAATAAAATTGGCAATAGTGGCTACACTGACGGTGATCATCTATTAGAAATTTGTTCCAACTTAAACAGCAAGCATATTTGGCGCATCTAAGTATTTAGGCGATTACCTAAATCTACAAACTTTACAGTCGAACAGGTATTTTTAGTGATAAGCGTTGAAATTGTTTCAAACCTGATAACAGTTCAACAGAATGCAATTAAAAGTAATTGGCGGAAGACCTTGTTTGGACGTATCCTTGATTACGTATTCAAACAGTAGAGTTCCACACGACTGAGCGTAGTGAGCGTAGCGGCTCGGAGTGTGACTAAACAGTTACAGTACACATTCTATGGTACACTGGTGCAGGACCATTCACCATATAGCTACATTTACAGTCAATGGTGGGACCTTGTCAACGGATTAACCTTGTTCAGTTTTGGCTCAAATGTAACTAATTGAGGAAACACAACGATCAAACCAGTTTACTAGAATGTAAGTGAACTCGGTTGTAAACAATATTGATCCGGAATAGAACTAAAACTAATTTTACGTATGGTACCAGCAGATTTTCTGTAATAGTAAATAATACAGATTTTCTGTTTAGTACTGTAAATTAATCATAAATGATTATATACGACATGTAGTTAATTATAATGTAATTCTAGTACATACCATTATTGACTTAAAACGTCGTTTGACATAACAAAACAAATCAGTTAATTAGGTTTATGACTGGGCTTGAGCTAATTTTGTTTTTCAAATAATCTTACAGTGAAATTGTATACTTGCAAGTCGTGAGGTTGGAACACTGAAAACAATTTCCTGTGGTTTATTTTTTTCAACGTATTTTTCAGTTAACATAAAACCAATGTGTTTAATTATAATTCCCTTAAATTTTAAACCTATGATTTTGGAGTTGCCTGTACTTTTGACATAGTTCCAAAAATAAAGAACCTTTTAAATTGTTTTGATCAACCAAACTTGAACCTGAATCTTGACAACCATAATGTTTGAACAAAGGGGAATTAAAAATTAAATTCCTGACTTTGCTACCAAACTGAATAATTGCTAGTTCAATAGATATTTGTTAATATAGTAGAAATCAAGTTTATTGATCTGTCTAAACAGTGAGTTACTACCTACTGGAAAAATAATAAATTCATTTGAGTTCAGAAAATATTATAATGATACAAAATTAAATTAACCCTTTACAAATCAAATCAAAACTATTCTCTTGATGAGATATTTAAGTCCAAATTGGAATAGACAGAGAGGAATGATGTGTAGAGATGTACTCACGACCTCGAAGAGAAGAAATTAATGAATGTTCGTTAATACCAAGTAATGGAGATTAACACTTCTTGAGAAAATAAAATATAACACTGTGTGCACACAAACTTCTGGTGAATGTTCCTCACGGTTAAATAAAACTTCTGTTGAAACAATAGAGTCAATAATTGATGATTTAATATGGGATACTGAGACCCATGGTAAAATAATTAGAGGGATTCAGAGACCCTCATAATGTTTGATTCACATGAAGACTGCATAGTAACTGAGTGAGTTGGAGCAGTGTACAGGAAAAACCACTGGTCAGTCTATATCATGTCGGCTGGAACTGATAAGCAGGATACGCAGCACATTCCTCTGCATTGTCTGCCTATCTCTCTCTCTCTCTCTGTCTGGCTTAACTTAATACAATTTTATTTTATGAACTCACTTAAAAATATTATTATGAATTGAACCAAAAAGTGCAGTTATTTATTTACACACAAAACATTTAAATATCTATTATTTAAATGACAAAACAAGTTATTATTTTATTTACAATAAATTTAAGTTTAGACCTAATTTGAGAATGCTCAAACATACCGCCCACCGAAATTTCAAAGGAAATTTCTAGCATCTTACTTAAAAGGGTCAGAATTGATTGAAAGAAGAGGTACCAATTTCACAGCTGGACGTTGGAATTCAGAGTCACTGGTCTTGACAGTCATCACTCGAACAATTCCATCACTGCCTGGGTGAGTCTTGATGATTCTTCCAAGAGGCCACTGCAAGATAGGTACATTTTGATCCTTAAGAAGAACCAAGTCTCCGATTTTAGGGTTTGTAGAAGATTTTGTCCATTTTCCTCTCGCTTGCAGGATGTTCAAGTATTCCACTCGCCACCTCTTCCAAAAATGTTGAACCATCTTGTGGACTAGTTGCCATCTTGTAATGACGTTTTCTCGAAGATCAAGAAGAGAAGGTTCGGGAGGAGCAACAAGAGGGCATCCAACAAGAAAGTGTCCTGGAGAAAGAAAATTAGTTTCTTCTGGACTAGCTGACAAAGGACAAAGTGGTCTTGAATTCAGAACTGCTTCTACTTGGGTGAGCAAGGTTGACCACTCTTCATCAGTCAAAGCAGTTTCTCCAGCTATCTTCCTCAAATGTGTCTTTGTTGATTTAACTGCCGACTCCCACAGTCCACCAAAGTGTGGGGAGTAGGGAGGATTGAAATTCCATTTTACATCCAGTTTAGTAGTTTGCTGTAAAATTTCTTCTTGTGTAGTCTGATTGGAGTACCATATTCCTAATTCTCGAAGACGATTAGCTGCTCCTCTGAAGTTTGTTCCACAGTCGGAATACACTTGTTCAGGAAGACCTCTTCTAGAAATAAACCGTCTGAAAGCAGCCATAAAGGCATCTGTTGAGAGTGCGGTTACCAGCTCTAAATGCAAAGCTTTAGTTGCCATGCAGACAAAAACACAGATGTAAGCCTTGGCAGTGGTTGCTTTTCTTCTTAACGACTCTCTCATAGTCAAAGGTCCAGCAAAGTCAACACCAACATGTAAAAATGCTCGGCTTACATTCACTCGTGGCGAAGGAAGATCAGCCATCATCGGGGAAAAGGTTTCAGCCTTTAGCTTGAAGCATCTTAGACATTTGAAGGTTCGCTGACGGACAATATTTCTCAGTGATGGTATCCAAAATCGTAATTGAATCAGAGCTTGAAGCAAGTTGGGTCCTGGGTGTAGGTAGATTTTATGGTAATAATCTACCAACAATAAGGTGAAATGACACTTTGGCAGAAGGATTGGGTGTCTTTGATCTTCTGGGATAGCTGCATTATTTAGCCTGCCGCCCACCCTGAGTATCCCCAGTTTGTCAAAGAAAGGGGTAAGTTTATGAAACTTATTGAGGACAGCAGTTGCACATCTTCTGTCGCCATCAATAGAGAAAAAGTGTGATTGAATTTTCTTGATGCAGGTTAGTAAGGACTCTTGAATTTCCTTAGGCTGAAGGGGTCCTTTCAGACGACTAGTACTGTGTAGTTTAGCTTGACAATTGTAGATAAATCTTCTGATCCAAGATATTACACGTAAAAGTTTGTAGTATGAAGAATAGTTTTCCATCATCTTGATAAGCTCTGGCTCAGTACTATTTGAGACAAGCACTTGTGGTTCAGCTTTCACTTCAGGTAGGGGCTGCTGCTGGAACTGTACTGTAGACTCTGGCCATTTATCTTCAGGCATATTCATCCACTTAGGGCCATGCCACCATAGATCACAGTTAGTTAGTTTATCTGGTAAAAGTCCTCTAGAACCATGGTCACTAGGATTTTCCTCTGATTTAATATGTCTCCACCATGAAATAGGTGTATGTTCCAAGATATGTGCAACCCTATTTGCTACAAAAACTTTAAGTTTGTAAGTTGGTGTATTCAGCCATCCTAAGACAATTGAAGAATCAGTGAAGAAAATAGGCTTCTGAAACTGATTACTGGTGAATTGGCTGAGGGTTTCCATAACAGAGTGGAACATTGTTGCAAGCAGGTAGGCTCCACACAACTCTAAGCGTGGGATAGACAGTGTCTTGATTGGGGCTAACTTAGTTTTGGCTGTTAGAAGGTTTGTAGTTATTTTGTCACTAATAATTCTCAGATACAGTGCAGCACAATATCCTTTTTCGGAAGCATCAGCAAATCCTACTATTTGCAATTTGTATGGTTTGTCAGATGTTACAAATCTTGGAATACTAAGATGTTGCAGGTTCTCTAGCTGAGTAGTCAAGTCATTCCATAGAGTCTTCAAGTTAGTTGGGATTTCAGAATCCCAGTCCAGCTTCAATTTCCATAGGCTTTGTATTATGCTCTTTGCAATCATTATCACAGGAGAAACGAATCCTAGAGGATCAAAAATCTTTGCCACAGCTGATAGGATGGCCCTTTTAGTAAACACAGGGGTAAATTGTTCAATCTGGTATGCAAACGTGTCGCTTGAAGGGTTCCATTGAAGTCCTAGGATCTTGACATTTGAATCTTCACTAGATGAGAGGTTGATCTGTTTGATATGTTTTGAAGGATTGATTGCATTTAAAATTTCCTGAGAGTTACTGGCCCATTTACTTAGACCAAAATGACCTTTGTGTAAAAGATTGATTACTTCATC